ATATAACCTTAATAAACATATATGCACCCAATATAGGAGCACCAAAATATATTAAAATCTTCTGGAGGACTTTAAAAATAAATCAGCAGCAATACAATCATAGCAGGGGACTTTAACACTTCATTGATACCTCTGGATAGATCCTCCAGACAAAAAATTAGCAAGGAAACAGACACTCTAAATGAGGCACTAAACCAAATGAATTTAATAGATATCTACAGAGAATTATACCCCAAAACTATAGAATTCCCATTCTTCTCAAGTGCACATGGGACATTCTCAAAGATAGACTACATGACAGGACGAAAACTGAATCTCTACAAGTTCAAGAATATTGAAATCATATCAAGCATCTTCTCAGATCACAATGGCATGAAACTAGACATCAATAGCAACAAGAACATGAAGGGCATTTGAACACATAAAGGCTAAATAGCATGTTATTGAACAATAAATGGGTTAACATGGAGATCAAGAAAGAAATTAAAAACTTCCTGGAAACCAATGAAAATGAACACACAACAACACAAAATCTATGAGATGCAGCAAAAGCAGTTCTGAGAGGAAAGTTTATAGCACTACAGGCCTACCTCAAGAAAAAAGAAAAATTTCTAATTGACTGTCAAACACAGTAAGCAAACAAAAAGAAAACCCCAGAGCAAGTAGCAGGAAGGAACTTGTAAAGATAAGAGAAGAAATAAATGACATAACACAGAAAAAATGTAAAGGATCAATGAAACAAAGAGCTGGTTTTTCTAAAAGATAAACAAGATTGATAGACCCTTAGCTAGACTCACCAAGAAACAGAGAGAGAATCCAAATATACAAAATTAGAAATGAAAGAGGAGAAGTAACAACTGACATAACAGAAATTAAAAAGACTGTTAACAGCTACTATGAACAAATATATGGCAACAAATTCGACAATCTAAGCAAAAGGGTCAAATTTCTAGAAACACATAGTTTCCCAAAACTGGACTGGAAAGAGATAGAAAATTTGAACAGAACAATAAAAACTAAAAAAAATTGAAGATGTAATCAAGGATCTCCCAGAAAACAAAAGCCCAGGTCCGGATTACTTAATGGGGGAGTTTTACTGAATATTCAAAAAAGAACTAACACCCATTCTCCTCAAACTATTTCAAAAAATTCAAAAAGGAAGACTTCTAAACTCGTTTTATGAGGCCAGCAAATTTTTAAAATTTTTTAATTTTAATTAATTTATTTTTTGTTACAGATGTTTCTCCCCCCCCCCACTGATTTCCTCCTCCTCTTCCCTCCCCACTCTGTCTTCAAATTTGTTGTCCATGTCCATTGTTCATACATACATGCATGTAAGTTCTGTGGTTTATCTCTTTCCCCCACGCCCTCTTCAGGGGATTGTCAGTCTGTACTCCACTTCCACGTCTCTGGGACTACCCCATTTCTCTGAATGTTACGTTCATTATATTCCCCAAATGAGTAAGATCATGTGATATTTGCCTTTCTCTGCTTGGCTTGTTTCGCTTAGGATAATACTTTCCAGGTCTCTCCCTGTCGTCTCAAAGGATAAAAGACCTTTCTTTCTTAGAACTGCATAGTACTCCATTATGTATATGTATCACAGCTTTTTTATCCATTTGCCTACTGATGGACATTTGGGCTATTTCCAGATCTTAGCTATTGTAAATAGTGCTGCTACAAACATGGGGGTACATATATTCTTTCTGATTGGTGCTTCAGACTTCTTAGGGTATATTTTTAGAAGTGAGATCACTGGGTCAAATAGCAGTTCAATTTTTAATTTTTGAGGTAGCACCATATTGTTTTCTATACTGGCTGCACCAGTCTGCATTCCCACCAGCAGTGTACTAGAGTCCCCTTTGCTCCCCACCCTCGCCAACACTTGTTTAATGATTTGTTGATGGTGGCCATTCTGACAGGTGTGAGGTGATACCTCATTGTTGCATTAATTTACATCTCTCTGATGATTAGTGATGTTGAGCATTCTTCATATGTCTCTTAGCTATTTGTATGTCCTGTTTGGAGAGGTGTCTATTTAGTTTCTCTGCCTATTTTTTAAACTGGGTTCTTTGTCTTCCTTTTGTTGAGTTGTATGAGCACTATATATATATTGGAAATTAACCACTTATCAGATATATTATTGGCAATTATGCTCTCCCATACAGTGTGTTGTTTTTCCATTTTGATGATTGTATCTTTTGCTGTGCAGAAGCTTTTTAGTTTGATGTAGTCCCATGTGTTCATTATTTTCTTTGTTTCTGTTGCCTTAGGTGATGTATTTATGAAAATTTTGCTGTGTATAATGTCTGAAATTTTGTTGCCTAGAGTTTCCTCTGAAATTTTTATGGATTCATGAGTTACATTTAAGTCTTTTATTTATTTTGAGCTTATTCTTGTGTATGGTGTAAGTTGATGGTCTAGTTTTATTTATTTGCATGTAGCTGTTTAATTTTTCCAACACCATTTATTAAAGAGTCTGTCTTTACTCCACTGTATGCTATTGCCAACTTTGTCAAATATTAATTGAGCATATTGCCTTGGGTCCATTTCTGGGTTCTCTGTTCTGTTCCACTGGTCTATAGGTCTGTTCTTGTGCCAGTCCCAGGGTGTTTTGATTACAGTGGCTTTGTAGTATAACCTGAAATCTGGTAATGTGACCCTTCCAACTTTGTTCTCCTTTTACAATATTGCTGTGGCTATTCGAGGTCATTTTTGGTTTATATGAACTTTTGAAGTATTTGTTCTAGTTCTATGAATTATGTCATTAGTATTTTGATGGAGATTGCATTGAATCTATAGATTTCTGTGTGTAGTATGGATATTTTAATGATGTTAACTTTTCTAATCCATGAACAAGGTATGTACTTCCACTTTTTTATATCTTCCTCTTTTTTTTCTTCAATGACCTGTAGTTTTCTATAAATAGGTCCTTTATTTCTTGGGTTAAGTTTATTCCTAGGTATCTTAATCTTTTTTGCTGCGATGGTAAGTGGGATTTTTTTTTTAGTTTCTTTTTCTATGTGTTCATCATTGGTGTATAAGAATGCCATTGACTTCTTGACATTAATTTTGTATTCTGCTATTTTGCCAAATTTATTTATTAAGTCTAGTAAATATTTTATGGAGTCGTTGGGGTTTTCTACATACAGTATCATGTCATCTGCAAATAATGACAGTTTCGCTTCCTACTTTCCAATTTGGATCCCTTCTTTCCCCCCTCTGGTTTGATCGATGTGGCTAAGACTTCCAGTACTGTGTTAAATAAGAGTGGTGAAAGTGGGCATCCTTGCTTTGTTCCTGTTCTTAAGGGAAATGCTTTTAATTTTTGTCCACTGAGTATGATGTTGGCTGTAGGTAAACAAAAAGAAAACCCCGGAGCAAGTAGAAGAAAATCAATAGTAAAGTTCAGAGCATAAATAAGTGACATAGAGATAAAAAATAAATTCAAATGCTCAATGAAACAAAGAGCTGGTTGTTCGAAAAGATAAACAAGATTGATGAACCCTTAGCTAGACTCAACAAGAAACAAAAAGTGAGGGCCCAAAAAAACAGAATCAGAAACAAAAGAGGAGAAGTAACAACTGACACCACAGAATTACAAAGGATCATTACAAAACATTTAAACAATTTTATGCCAATAAATTGAATAATCTAGGTGAAATAAACACATTTCTAGAAACCCACACTTTCTCAAAACTGAACTGGGAAGAGATAGAAAACTTGAACAGAATAATAACACTTAGGAAATTGAGGATGTAACAAAAAAATTTTCCAGCAAACAAAAGCCCAGGCCCAAATGGCTTCGTGGGGGAATTTTACCAAACATTCAAAGAGGATCTAACACCCATTCTCTCTCTCTTTTTTTTTTTAAGTGTGTATCACCTTTTATGGTAGTTTCCATTAGGAATTGAACAGAGGACATTGTCTGTGGAGCGGGAAAAAAGAAAGAGAAAAAGAAAGTATGTTTTTGTAGACTTAATTTCTTCAAAACACTTTATGGTTTCAAATCCTTTTTTACCCCAAAGGAAATTCGAGAATTCAAGTATGTGAAGTAGGGAGCAGTAATACAAAAAGTCTTATGTTTCTGTTTGTGTGTGTGGGTGTGTTTGCCTGTGTGTGTTTTACAAGCAGACATACCTCCACATTTCTTGCACCCCTTTTTTGCCTTGGTAAGGCCAAGCCTCAAAGGACACATCATATACATGACATCTGCTTTGAACTCACAGGCCCCGAGTTGAGGAATTTATGTACCCTCATAGGACAACTGTAACGGTTTCAAACTGTCATGTAGCATTAAAAACACCTCCCTCCCTCCCCCCAACCCTAAGTCATTTAATCCTGATAGACTTCAACATCCCCTTTGCTGTGGCTGCTCCTTTGGTTCCTAAGAGAGGGCTCATGACAAGGACCAGAGCAACAGGATTCTATTCATTTTGCTTAGCATAAAAAAAAATTTAAGGGACATTTCACAATAAAAATAAAAACTGAAATTCAAATTCTGAAAATATCTTGCCTTTTTTATTAATCATGTCAGTTAAAAAAACAAATATGTGAATATGATATAAAAATACGATTCCAGGATTAACACTGTTGCAGGCACAGTTATCTCTCAGAATATATGTTTGGAGGGCCAAGGAAAGGAATTTACTTTCGTTTTTGCTTCTCTTAAAAAAATCCTCAGCAGTGCAAGTAGGGTCAAGAAGGAAAGGGAAGGGGGGGGGGGGATTCTTTAGCAGCAAAATGTCCAAGGTTCTCTAATCACATTCAAATCAGTGGATATTGGATTTAGGGGGAAAAAAGAAAAAAAAAATGGAGGGGATGCTGCCCAGACACATTCATTATCAATCACTAAAAAACTTCCGCTGCAATAGCCCAAATTGTGACACGTGAAGGACATGCTTCATTACACAAGCAACCAATCATAAAATGTGTCCCTCAAGCTTTTGACCACGTTTGCCAATTAAATATATGTACAGGAATCGGGCTCCTCTTCTCACTCATGTCCTTTCAGACGGCCACCATTTGGTCGCGGTGGGTGGGCTCTCGGTGTCTCTGCCACGTTTGGCCTCTGCGTGTGAAGAGCATTTTCGCCACCGATGCTGCGCCTGCCTGCCCAGCTGGGCGAGGGGACGGTTAATGGTGTTCTGTTTCTCCCGCATCCAGGCGTGAATCTGCTCTTTCAGTTCTGGCACTGGCTCCAGCATGCTCTCAGTCAGCGTCTGCCGGTTGAAGGGGTCCGTGGGGGAGTTCGGCAGGTGCCGCAGAATGATGGAGCAGTCCATGATGGTGCCGGAGGGCAGCCGCATTGGGTCAGTCATCAGGGTGTCCATCAGAGGGTCTCGGAACTCATCCGGCGCGTCGTTGTAGTCCATCTCGGCCTGTGTGTTCTTGGCCACTATCTCCTCCACCTTCTCGGCGAGAAGCTTGAACTTCTCTATCGTGATTGTGGACTTGATTCCTGCCTTCTGCATCTTCGAAATGACTTCCTCGAACAACTCTTTGCTGTAGGATCTCTGGTCATCAGCAATGGCTTTCACGAACCTCGCACAGTCCAGCTGCAAGTAAATATCAGTTAGTTGGTCCAACAGCTTCTTTGATTCAAAGCCGTATTTCTCAGGGTTTTCAACTTTCAGGTCCCGGCACTTGGGACCACAGAGTTGCTGAAGATTAAAGTTCAGCATTGCAGTCAATTGGGGTCCAAGTTCCGGTCTGAGGAATGGCTTCTGGACCTGCTTCGTGAAAATGTGGAACATGTCCACGGTTTCCGTGGCCAGGGCGAGATAGGAAGCTGAGCAAGCTGAGACGGACGGGCCTGCTGCTGGGCCTGGGGCAGCTGCTCCCACTGCTCTTTGTTCTTCATCTCCTCCTGCACTTCGTGGATCTGCTTCAGGGACTCCAGACTTTCATCGAGCAAAAACGTCGTGTCGTTGATCAGCATGTTTATATAGGGAACGAACTGCTTCCCAGAATTGAACTCCTCCATGAAAGAGCCGTGGTGAGCTATGTTTTGCCAAAGGCTTTTAAAAATGGTGCTAATGTGATAGCGAATGGTGAACTTGTCATAGAACTCACAGGTAGCTCCGGTGTGCTCGACATCTTTATAAAACTTCATCCAGGAAGGGACCAATAATTTGGTGGAGAGAGGATGGTTCTCAATCATTTCAAAAAACTTCTGGGTTTGTGGCTGGACAGCAGGGTTGGTCATAAACATGACTTCTACCAGTTTGGCCACCAGGTATGGATTTTGGATGTAGTTCTGGTTGCACAACATCACAACGAGGAACATCACAATACCCTGAGTGCAGGGCTCATAGAGCACCTGAGGCGAGTATTGTACAATAAAAAATAAAAATTCAGCAACATCTTCTACATAAAACTCAGGCAATGCTGCAAACGCCTTGGGGACGTCTGAACCGAAAGGCAGTGTTACATCGGGATAGGCAGGGTCCAGGATGCGGAGCAGCAGCTGAATGAGAAGGCCATAAATATTCAGACATCTTCTCAGGAAGCTCTCCTCAAGTAAACCAGCATCAGCACAGGCCTTGCATCATACTAGTTTCTTAAGCTGAGTTCTGCATCGCTTCAGCATTTTGCGGTGTCTAGTTACCAGTGGGGAATCTTTCCATTGGCTTTCATTATTTTTCAAATCTTCTACGGTTCTATTGAGCTCCCGGATGGCCCAGAGTCTGCGGATATAGCGACGGCAACTCGGCAGAATGGAGAGGTGGTGGGCGTGCAGGGTAAGGAAGAAGCATTCCGTAGGGAATTTCGGCTCAGAAAATGGAGGCTGATCTCCATAAAGTTCCATCAGCCAGTCGTTCACATCCTCCATTGTCGTGTTCACTCTGGTCTCATCAGTGGGCAGAGTAATCCGACACTTTGGGTGGAATATATACGAGGGGTCAACTGTCTCTAACTTGATCTTTGTACTTAGCTGCTGCAGCACCCAGAGAAAATTCAGCATAAATCCATCTGTAGAAACCAATCTATCATCTGTCTGCATCTGTGCTTTTTTCATATTGGCATTGACGACAGCTGCCATGTAACCAAGGGCAGCCTCACGGGTTTCACCGTTTAACAAAATACTATGCAGAATCTTGAAAAGCTCTTTCCTTCCCAGCTCCAAGTAATGCTGCAATGATTGGCTAACCACGTGCGTATTTTTCAGGGTAATAGCAGGCCCTGAGAAATACTTTTCAACCACTTTAGCATCATCTTCTGTGAAGACTGAGAAGCTAAAGAAAGCCCCCAAATAAGAGAGTCTCTGCAGCTCCCGCCCGGAGCCAGGGCTTAGGGACTTAGGCAACCACAATGGCAAAGAGGCGACCAAATTGCACACAGGGTGTGTCTTCCCAAACTTGGTTTCACAGAGCTCACCCAAAGCCATGAGGAGATATTTGAAGTAGTCACTATCAAGGGAGCACTCTTTGGCAGCAAGAGCCAGGCCTTGTAAAATGGGGATAAAGATCTGCTTGAATACTTCTTCATCCTGGTGAGTGGTTATCACCAGTTCTTGAATAAAGCCATATGGGAGATTTCTACACAACATATACGGCACTAGGAAGGATGGCTGCTGCATGGACCTTGGTTGTGTGAGGGAACCTTGGAGTACTAATGCAGTATGGGATATGCACTGTGAGCGGATGTTGCTCAGAAACTGGCTGACTCCTGGCTGGCTGCACATCTTTGGTGCTTTTTTTCCCTCTATTCCAACTCGGTCAAAACACTCAATGAGGTAGTTCAGCATATCTGTCTCCTTGCAGGTCTCAATGGCGAAATGGTCACTGTAGGAATCCGAAGTACTTGCCCCACCAGAGGCTCCCAAACTAGACAAAGAGCTGGCACCGAAGGAACCCACAGTGCAGAACATGGGACTTGTTCCTGGATTGGAGCCAGTATTTAGCGTGAGATTTCTGTCTGGTGACCGAGCTGCCACTGCAATTGGCTGTGAAGTGGCTGTCAGACTGGCAAATGGGTTTTCATCTCGAGTCTGAGTAGACATCATTAGCACTTCCATTAAAATCTGGCCAATCAAGTCCTTAAAATCAGAGAACACTTCTTTTGGGTTCTGCTTAAATTGTGCAGAAAGAGAAGAAAGAAAAATGATGTCTCTGTCCCAGTCCTTCGGAGACACAAAAGATCTTACAGACCAGCTGTAAAGCCTGTTCTTCAGAACCCGATGACAGCTCCTTGTCGCTCAGGTTCCTTTTTTCTTTTCGCTCATTTTCATCAACTTCCATATTTTCAATTCCTGAATCCACATCCACCTGGGAGATGCTTTTCTCACAAGAGACGCTATCAATATCCATGCTCTGGGAACATGAGAGAGACTGAGATTGTGTTTCAAGTCTATTGGAGGGTGAGCTGCTGAGAGAACTGACTCCTTCACTGCTCTGGCTTCAATGGGCTACTCCTGATGCACCTATTGGGGAGGTAGCTGGGGTCATGTTGTGGACATTGAGACCAAGACTCTGGGAGGGGCCTGGGGCTGACACTGCTAGAGGAGGCCCCGGAGGGTTCTCTCTCTTGGGAGAGGTAAGCGGTGTGGTCGGCTGGGAAGTCTGTCCACCAGCAAGTTGAGCGAGGCGCCTCCGTCGGATCTCATCAGGCTCAGCTCCTCTATCGCTTTCCTCTTAATGGTGAAAGGCATTAGGGAGAGAACCTTCTGTTCTTGAGACCAGGGCGGGAGGAGAATGGAAAGTGTCTGTTGGGCTGTCTGGTCCCCCGAATGGGGGAGGTTTCAGAATTGCATAGTCAGAGGTTAAAAAATAAAAACACGAGAGGCACTGAGCTGCCTTGGTGTCGGTCACTCCGATTGCCCCAGCGACTCCTACAGCTGCTTGTACCCTGAGCAGCCTCCTTTGGCCACCACTGCTGCTGCGACAGGGTTATCTTATGGTGCCACTTAACTACCCACTGTTTCCCAGGTTACCCAGACTAGGGAGCTTGGTCTCCAGCTAGCCTCGTGCCCCAAGCCTGGTGTGTCTTCGTGGTTGTGGCGGCGCGGCAGCTGCCTAACACCCAATCTCTTTAAACTATTCCAAAATATCCAACAAGAAGAAAGACTTCCAAACTTGTTTATGAGGCTGATATAATTTTAATTCCAAAACCACAAAAAGACACTACAAAGAAATAAAACTGTGAGCCAATATTTTTGATGAATATAGATGCCAAAATTCTTTTTTTCTCTTTTTTATTAATTAATTTTTGTTACAGATGTTTCTTTTCCCCCCACTGATTACCCCCTCCCCATCCCTCCCTGCCCTGTCCCCAGTTTGTTGTCCATGTCCACTGTTCATCCATACATGCATATAAGTTCTGTGGTTTATCTCTCCCCCACCATCCCCTCTTCTGGGGATTGTCAGTCTGTACCCCACTTCCACGTCTCTGGGACTGCCCCATTCCTCAGACTGTTATGTTCATTATATTCCATAAATAGGTGAGATCATATGATACTTGTCTTTCTCTGTTTGGTTTGTTTTACTTAGAATGATACTTTCCAGGTACCTCTATGTAGTCTCAAAGGATAAGAGATCTTTCTTTCTTACAGCTGCATAGTACTCCATTGTGTATATGTACCACTGCTTTTTTATCCACTATTCTATTGATGGACATTTGGGCTGTTTCCAGATCTTAGCTATTGTAAATAGTGCTGCTACAAACATGGGGGTACATGTATTCTTTCCATTGGTGTTTCAGGCTTCTTAGGGTATATTCCTAGAAGTGGGATCACTGGGTCAAATGACAGTTCAATTTTTAATTTTTTTGAGGAAACACCATACTGTTTTCCATAGTGGCTGCACCAGTCTGCATTCCCACCAGCAGTGTGCTAGAGTCCCCTTTTCTCCACACCCTCGCCAACACTTGTTGTTTGATGATTTGTTGATGGCGGCCATTCTGACAGGTGTGAAGTGATACCTCATTGTTGTTTTAATTTGCATCTCTCTGATGATTAGTGATGATGAGCATTTCTCCATATGTCTCTTAACCATTTGTATGTTCTTTCTGGAGAGGTGTCTATTTAGTTCCTTTGCACATTTTTTAATTGGGTTCTTTGGCTTCCCTTTGTTAGGTGTATGAGCACTCTCTATATATTGGTAATACACCCCTTATCTGATATATCATTGGCAATTATGCTCTCCCATACAGTGGGTTGCCTTTCCATTTTGATGATTGTATCTTTCACTGTGCAGAAGCTTTTGAGTTTGATATAGTCCCATGTGTTCATTTTCTCCTTTGTTTCTATTGCCTTAGGTGATGTATCAGTGAAAATTCTGCTGCATATGATATCTGAAATTTTGTTGCCTACAGTTTCTTCTAGGATTTTTATGGATTCATGGGTCACATTAGTCTTTTATCCATTTTGAGTTTATTCTTGTGTAGGGTGTAAGTTGATGGTCTAGTTTCATTTTTCTGCATGTAGCTGTCCAATTTTCCCAGCACCATTTATTAAAGAGGCTGTCCTTACTCCACTGTATGCTCTTTCCACCTTTGTCAAATATTAATTGAGCATATTGCCTTGGGTCCATTACTGGGTTCTCTGTTCTGTTCCACTGGTCTATATGCCTGTTCTTGTGCCTGTACCAGGCTGTTTTGATTACGGTGGCTTTGAAGTATAGCCTGAAATCTGGTAATGTAATACCTCCAACTTTGTTCTTCTTTTTCAAGATTGCTGTGGCTATTTGAGGTCTTTTTTGGTTCCATATAAACTTTTGAAGTACTTGTTCTAATTCTGTGAAGTATGCCGTTGGTATTTTGATGGGGATTGCATTGAATTTATAGATTGCTTTGGGTAATATGGACATTTTAATGATGTTAATTCTCCCAATCCATGGACAGGGTATGTGCTTCCAGTTTTTTATATCTTCCTCTATTTTTTTTTTCAATGACCTGTAGTTTTCTGCGAATCGGTCCTTTATTTCTTTGGTTAAGTTTATTCCTAGGTATCTTAATTTTTTTTCCGCAATGGTAAATGGGATTGCTTTCTTAGTTTCTCTTTCTGTGAGTTCATCATTGGTGTATAAGAATGCCATCGATTTTTTGACATTAATTTTGTATCCTGCTACTTTGCCAAATTCATTTATTAAGTCTAGTAAATGTTTGTTGGAGTCTTTGGGGTTTTCTACATATAGTATCATGTAAATAATGACATCTGCAAATAATGACAGTTTCACTTCCTCCTTTCCAATTTGGATCCCTTTTATTTTTTCTTCCTGTCTGATTGCTGTGGCTAAGACTTCCAGTACTATGTTAAATAAGAGTGGCGAATGTGGGCATCCTTGCCTTGTTCCTGTTCTTAAGGGAAATGCTTTTAGTTTTTGCCTATTGAGTATGATGTTGGCTGTAGGTCTTTCATATATGGCCTTTATTATGTCTAGTTATGATCCCTCTATTCCCACACTGCTGAGCGTTTTTATCAGAAATGGATGCTGGATTTTGTTGAAGGCTTTTTCATAGATGCCAAAATTCTTAACAAAATAGTAGCAAATTGAATCCAGCAACATACCAAAGCAATTATTCACTTTTACCAAGTGGAATTCATCCCAGGGATGAAAGGCTGGTACACTATTATCAAATAAATAATTGTTATACACCACATAAACAAAATGAAAGATAAAAACCATATGATTATATCAATAGATTCAGAAAATGTATTCAACAAAATTCAGCACCGATTTCTGATAAAAATGCTCAGCAATGTTGGAATAGAGGGATTGTATTTTGACTTAATAAAGGCCATATATGAAACCTACAGTCAACATCATACTCAATGGGCCAAAACTAAAAGCATTTTTTTAAAGAACAGGAACAAGACAGAGATGCCCACGTTTGCCACTCTTATTTTACATAGTACTGGATGTCTTAGCCACCACAGTCAGACAAGAAGGAACAATAAAGGGGATCAAAATTGGATTGGAGGAAGTGAAACTGTCATTATCTGCAGAGTACATTATATTGTATATAGAAAACCCTAAAGACTCTTTCAAAAACCCACTAAAGCTAATAAACAAATTTGGTAAAGTAGCAGGATACAAATTTAACATTAAAAAATTGATGTCATTCTTATACACCAATAATGAATTCACAGAAAGAGAAACTAAAAAAAAAAAAAAATTCATTTACCATTGTGGCAAAATAACTTAAGATACCTAGGAACAAACTTAACCAAAATAGTAAAGGACCTGTTCTCAGAAGACTATCGGACATTGAACAACAAATGTTGGTGAGGGTGTGAAGAAAAGGAATGTCTAGTACACTGCTGGTGGGAAAGCAGACTGGTTCAGCCACTGTGGAAAAAAAATATTGTTTTGTCAAAAAATTAAAAATTAAACTGCCATTTTATCCAGTGATCCCACTTCTAGAAATATATCCCAAGAATCCTAAAACACCAATAAAAAATATATGTACCCCTATGTTCATGGCAGCATTATTTATAGTTGCTAAGTTCTGGAAACAGCACACGTGTTTATCAGTAGATAAATAGATAAAAGAGCAGTGGTACATATGCACAATGGAGTACTATGCAGCTGTAAGAAAGAAAGATCTCTTATTTTTTTGAGATGGCATGAAAGAACCTGGAGAGTATTATGCTAAAAAAATTAGGCAATTAGAGAGAGACAAATAACACCTGATCTCATTTATTTGTGGAATATAATGAACAAAACAAACTGATGAACAGAATGGACCCAGAGACATGGATGTGGGATAGAGATGGACAAACCTCAGAAGAGGGGGTGGGGAGTGGGGAGAATTACACCACAGAATTTATATGCATGTATGGGTAATCAATGGACATAGAGAACTATGCTGGGGAAGGGGGGATCAGGAGGAAGGTGTCAATGGGGGAAAAAAGAGAATTATTTATTACAAATAAATTAATGAATAAAATAAATAAATAAATAAATAAATAAATAAATAAATAAATAGACTTTGCACAAATAATGCACCACCATTACACAATCACAAAACAATTTCAATGTTTAAAATACAATAATTATTTATTATATTCCATATTGTCTGCTTTGGCCATGTATATGATTTTTAAGTTTGTCATGAGCAGGTTTTCTTCTTTAATTTTATCATGCATCTCTGTATTACATCTCAGTCATTACTGTGCAGACAAGTTTTACTTGGGCTGTCTTAGGATGTGGGCAACCCTCCATTTCCTTCCCTGCAGCCTCCAAAGCATGTGCCCAGGCCCTTAGCACTGTGAGGAGGAAAGCTACTCAATGTGTGGGAGGTGAGCTAGGCCCCACTTGGATATCACCATGGTAACATTTTCCACTTTCTTCTCTCTGATACTTGGTCATCTGTGGCCATAAAGACTGCCCCACCACCACCAGCAGCACATCTGCATGGCAACCAGTGAGGGAGGCAGCACAGCTGGGCCTTACTTCAGAAAAGCAAGTACACTTACAGCTTTTATAAATCACTAAGGAGATGCTTGGCACCTCCATGGGAAAATGGAAAAAGGATGCAAACAAAAGATGAAACCACAAGTGGCTAATAAATATATGATAAGTGTTCAACATTCCCAGAGATCATAGAAATGCAAATTAAAAAACATTTTTTTTTTTCCCCTAACCAGCATAATTGGCAAGAGATGTGGAAAACAAAAAAGATAATGTTC